GCGCTATTTTGGTGCTCCTTTCCCAGTGCCAAAAGGGTGGATTGGGGCCCACGCATGGGGCAGCCTCAGCCCCAATCCTCTGCTTCCTAGGACGGCCCATGGCCACCCATCTGAATCCCCCCAGAGTCTTTAGATGGTCTGAAAGTACACTGAACGCCCCTGCTCCAATACATCAATTAATTTAAAAGGTGTTCAGATTCTCCCCCTCCCCTTTGTCTGGCTCTGTACTAAATAAGATAAGTATATCATAGAGTCATGATGGCGAACCAATGGCACGTGTGCCAGAGATGGCACGCAAAGGCATTTTCCCTGGCACACAATGGGTGGGGAGAAGGAGGAAGAGGCATGTGCCTGTACCTCCTCTTCCCGGCCATCCCAGGCCTTCAGCTACCTCTCTGGAGGCAGCTGAAGGCTGGCGACTGTGCGGGGAGAGGAGGAAGAAGTGGTGCTTGTCTGTTCCTCTTCTTCCCCTCTGCCTCCCGGGTCTTCAGCTGTCTCTGGAGAGGCAGCTGAAGGCTCAGGAGAGTGGGGGGAAGACATCTGCCCCTGGGAGAGCGGAAGTCCCAGCACCAGCACTGAATAACACCTGGTGCTGGAAGGTCTTTTAGTTTGGGCACTTGGCCCCTAAAAGGTTTGCCATCACTGTCATAGGGCTCGGGGAAAGTTAGTCTTTTGCATTGCAACAACAGTGCCCTACTGACTGGGGAACTGGGAAGTTATAGTCCACAAAGTGACCTTTGCACGCCCGAAGAATATGTACCTGTTATTTAAATGTCCTATTGGGACAGGTTACCCCCAATTCGGAAAGATACTTGGACTATCAGGTTGGCCCTACTCACTTGAGTGAGACAGCCACTTCAGGCAGCTCATTTTGGAGACCATGAAAGGACAGCAAGTTGTTAGCCATTTAACTGTTTAGCACTGTATTTTTGCTTCAGTGGAAGAGAAGAAACACTTGTGGGAGTTTCTGTCCCTGATGCCAAAAATACTTGACCAACTTTGAGTGATTTATCCCACAGTTGTAGTGGGGTGGCAGCAGGCATGGAAGAGGAGGAAGCTTATGTCAAAATTTGCTACTCCCATTCAGGCAGCAAAATGTCTTGGGCTGGCCCTGTAAAGTTTTCACTTTTTGGATTTTGCTCACCATTTCAGAGGTTCTTGCTCAGATTCTTCCTTCCTTTTCTTTCCCCCTTTCACTCTTAGAGGCAATCAACCCAGAGTAGTTAACCTCTTTCTTAATACATTTCTGTTTTGTTTTAAGAACAAGAGGACTAGCTGGAGATCCATTTGAGTAGACAACTGGATGGGGGGGAGTTTTAAAATGATTTAGAAACTGGTTATAGTTGACAAAAAACTTTTGAAGGTGAATTGACTGTACTCTTTTTTGTGTTGATTCAAAAGAATCTTGCAGAAAGAAGGAATTAAGTGTTTCCTCCTAATTTTTAAAGTTTGAAAAAGTTACCTTTGGGGGGAATTATAGCTCCCAGAATCTACCAGCCAGCATTCTGCTAATTTTAGTTCTCCTAATTTGTAATAAAAAAAGTTGTTTATGAAAAATTGAAGCCTATTTGCAAATTTTATAGATTAAAAGTCTTTTATTTCCTTAAAAATAAAAAGATCAAGAAGAAAAAGAAAAAAAAATAAGGGTACAGTTGAGTTAATGGCTCTTTCCCAAGTTGTTCTGCTCTGCTACTTTCCTTTAGTATTAAAAAGAAGTGGAAATTGTATAACCAAATAGTATTGGTCAAGCTAATGCTTAATCTTGTTAATGCAAGAAGGTGTGAGGATAAAAAAGGAAGAGATATGTGGAGATTAGCCACACCATAAGGCAAGCTGCATGCTTCCAGCTAAACATCTCACTGGGGGAGGGAATCTCCAATAACAAAATAACTCTTGTTTTTATCAAGATGTTTGGACAGTTTCAAATGTGCACAAAAGCACAATGGTTAAAGACAGACTGCGTCCAAATCATGATGATAAAATGAGTTTTACCTGGTGTCTTTCTTGGTGCTATACACCTGATGTAGGTAGATAAATCCATTTTTATTAATGGTATCTCCCTAATGAAAAGAAAATATCAACCAAATGGAGTCTTTGATGAAACATAATCTTTAGTACTTGAAGTAATCCAGTTCAGAAGGAAATAAATTCACAGTTACAAGGGAAATTGGTGAAGGGACGGAAAGAGTGGGTTATGAACATGTTGGTAGATGTTGTGGCGGAGCAGTATAGAATAATCCAAACAAGTTTCTACAGCAAGATGTTCCAGAGCTTTGTTGGTACCATATGATATCAGTGGTCAAGGGTCCTGTACCAGGTCAATAAAGGGCTGATCAGAAAAAAGTTGTGCTCATGGACACCTAGTTTGATATTACAGGCCTGTTTGCACTGCACAAATGTAGTGCTATGATTCCATTTTAACTGCCATGGTATCATTCTGTGGAATCCTGGAGTTTGTAGTTTGGTGTGGCTCTAGAGCTCTCTGGGTGAGAATTCTAAATACCTTTCCCTAAACTGCAAATTCTGGGATTCCACAGGATATTGTCAAAGTAGAAAGCTAAAGTGGAATTATAGTACTATAACTGTAGTGTGGAAGGGCCTGAAGTACTTTCAGCCCTCCTTATCTAGGGATTCTTTATCCACAGATCCAGCCATCCAGATCCATGAAAATATTCTCTCTCTCTCTCTCTCTCTAAGGGATACCATTTTACTATGCCATTTTATTTAATGGGACATGAGCATCCACGGATTTTGGTATCCACAGGGCATCCTGGAACCGAACCCCAGCAGATACCAAGGGCCCACTGTAGAAGGAGGTAATCCAGTGTAGTTTCCTATTGGAGAAGAAATGGTACAACATTTATGCATGGGGAAGCATGCCTTGCTCTACCACTAATAAAGCTGGAGGAAGCAACAGAACTCTGCTAAGACACTCTTTTCATCTACTTGTCTTACACTGGATTTAGGCCACTGCTTGCAAGCTGTTAATTATTCATTTGTTTTGTTCAAAGAAATGTACTTTTGTGATCCATGTAATCTAATGAGGCCAAAGCATGGTTTTGTGTGCTTAAATTTTGATTATTTTATTTGAACACGTACTTGCTCTCTCTGGATTGTACATAGTGTGTTGATCAATGCTGTGCAGGCACAAGATTGTGCCCTCCATATGCCAACATCTACCGCCATACTGAAAAATCTTTGACTTAGGGAGCTCTTGTCTCCTGTTTTGTGGAATGGCCAGATGAACCTGCACCATAACTGGAGGATTGTATAATATCTTAACAATATGAACACATGTGAATGTCGCTTCTTCACATGGACTTAGTGAGTAATGGGGATTTACATCTGAGCCTGTGGAAAGCAGGCCAGCCTACCCTCTGTTCAGAAAACAAGCATATTTAGCAATAATTTCCAGTGTTGTTTGTTTACTTGCATTTTGAAACTGTGTATAGGTAAATGGTTGTAGTTGTATGAAAAATTAAATTTTGGAGTTGAGCTCTGTAACTGGCAAAAAAGGAAATCCAAACAAGCCTCACCCTCTATTCACACACTTTCCCTGCCTGTTCACATATCTCAGGCGGGAAATAAATAATATTTAAAAGCATTGAACCTGTGATGATAGAAGTTATTTTTTGTTCATGGTAAATAGACTTTTAATTTGTCCACTATCATCAATGGTAGTACAGGTTTTGTAGGCTTCTGAAAAATGACCACCTACACCCCCAAGCCTTGCAGTACTAGTTTTCCAGAGACCAGTATGTTTGGAAAGACTTTTTTTGGAATATAGATTTCAGAGTCCCCAGGCCAGCATAGCCAGATGGTCAGAAAAATGAGCTTTCCCAGCCTTTGGCAATTCCTGTTTCCTAACCACTCCAGCATTCTGAGAAAACAGTTCTTTGTCTCCATCCATAAGATGTTTACTTTCACATTATAAATGTAAGCATTTGTGGCCAGTTCCCTAAATCTACATATTTTCAGAATGCGAGTAGGAAACTATAATGACAAAATTGGCCCTTAGCATGATGATAGGGTTTATTCAGGCAACTGTTGAATTAGAGAAGATGTGAGTCACACACTCTTGACAGTTAACATCTGCTGCTAAGTGCACTGTGCTCTTCTCAGGTTTATGGGAGGACAGCAGATTCTGTGAAAGCATTCGCCTCTTTAAAAACTTTTCTGGTTTTGAAATCATTAGAAGGCATATAGCCGGTGACCCTGCCTTTGAGACTAGTATTAGCAGATCTTTGTAACAGTTTGGGGAAAGTATGTCGTGGAGAAGTACATTAAGGCTGAATGATGCACCCATGAGGACAGTTGCTTCCCATACAGTATGTGGCTGCCTTCACATGAACTTTCATAGCTTTTTACACCAAAGTTTATGAAGTCATGGATGATTGATGTGATTTTGCCATCTTTCCTTAACCTCCCCTTTACTCATAACACACTTGATTATTATCCTGGATCCGATCTGGATTAATTGTCTTGATTTCATAACCAACGGTAAGGCAGTGCTTATCTATTTGGACAGGGGCTTAGTAGATTCAAATTCTAGTCCCCACTGGAGCTGAGAAACGCTCTGAATGACCTGGGGCTACTCACTTTCTCTTATTCTGATTTATCTCT